TGATGCACGCACGGAAGAGGATGGAAGGAAGTCTGATCGCAATCACCGGCTCGCGTCTAGCGGCACTCGAACTCACGAACAAACGGGGATAATCGAAGGGGATTTACGGGAAACTCTCTCAATCACCGGCTCACTCAAGTGGCACTCGAATTCAAGAGAGAATCAGAGAATGGATGGTGGAAATGAAGGGGAAGATGGCGAGTATGGCTTCGGACAAACCGAAGGGTGAGCCGGACACACCGAGCTCGGGATTTTCGGACAAACCGAAAGAGATTGTTGGACAAACCAACAAAGGATGAGGCAAGCTCGAAATTACTTCATTCAAATGTTCAAATCTGATTACAAAAGAGTTCTAGGTGGTTTATATAGGGAAAACAACAATAAATGCAAGTCTTCATGCAAGAGAAGGAGCCTAATTGTCATTTAATAAGGTGGTTGGGAAGAAAAGAGCTGTTGGAATTTAATGGACTAATGGGCTGGGCCTTGATTTGTTCTTGGGCTGAAATGGACAGCTCATGGGCTGGCTTGAAGTCATCTTTGAGCCCAATAGCTTTCAGCCATGATGGAGGAGACGTTCTGGGTTAAGTCTTGGCCGAAAAGGGAGGTGTTCGCGTCTTGATCCCGGACTCCGTGAAGAACTTGAGTGACGACCTTTGTTAACGTGATGCGGAGGGCTTGAGCTCTAACACGAGTGAGAGGAGGCTCGGCTCTATGGCTTGCTCGGGGAGCCTTCGCGTTATGCACGTCAAATCCCGTTCCCGCGGCTTCGAATGATCTTGTGATGTTATGATCATCCGGCAAGAGTCTTGACACCTGTTGGGTCAAGTCTTGAACATCTTCTAGAGCTCCTTCCGTTAAGCTCCCGTCCTCGTCCAAGTTGCTAGCTCCGATGTCCTCATCACTTGTGTTCTGCTTCAACTAGGTCCGGAGTAGGTCTTTGTAGCAGCTGCTCTTGGATCTCATTCAATGCTTCCCCCAACTGCTTAAATACGAGAAATATCACTAAAGTTGTTGCGGTTTAGTAGTCTTAGAGGATGCTTCAGTTCCTTAAGAGCCCGCTTGGGTTTTGCTTGTGCCTGACCAATACTGGCATCATAACTCCAGTTCTCCCTAACAACCTGCAAGAATGAGGGATGAAGAGCAACATGCGGGAAATATTTGAATGACTTTCTCACCTGTGAGTTCCTTGTCGGAATATGGATTATGCATGGGGCATGATCCGAGGGGCCTGGTGCCAAAAACTCTGCATAAGCCAAGGGATAATGCCCAAACCAAACTTTGTTCATCAGTGTCCGATCGAGTTTGATTGCTACTGGATCAATTTGGTTGTTATTCCACCAAGTATAATGAAGCCCTCTGAATTGCATATCTGATATTCCTGCCACATCCATACAATTCCTTAGATCATCCATTCCTGGTAATGAAGCAGTTACATTTCCATGATCAGATCTGTCACTTTGATATAGCATCTGATTAAAATCTCCTGCAATGATCCAAGCAGAATTTCGTATCATTTGGTGCTTGCTTAGGTCAATTATTTCGTCCCAGACAGCCTTTCTTTCGGAAGTTGTATTCTTTGCATAGACAAAAGTTGCTGCAATAGACCTCTGTTGCGCAGGGTCGTAAATCCCGCAAGTGATAGCTTGGCTCGTAGCTTGATAAATGTGTAGGATGATAGAAGGATCCCATACTACCCAAATTCTACCGGATGGATCAGCTCCATGATTACAAAAGGTCTTCCATCCTGAAGGTATCGCTGAGAGGATTCTAGTAGCGTTTGGTGGCTTGATATGCGACTCCAAAAGGCTACCTAACAAAACGTTGTGGTCAATAATCCACTCCTTCACGCTACGACTTTTATTCCTATCATTCAATCCCCTTGTATTCCAACAAAAAATCATGGAGCTAAATATGTTAAGTACGCTTTTTCTCCGTGGCTTTGCAACCACGGTCCTTCGCCTTCACCAGCGTGAATCCATCGTCAGTCTCATTGATTTTTATCTCTTGTTTGCCTTTAGTTATTGAGGCTTTGTCCGCAACTTTGCCGTCAGTTTGGTCTATCTTTGCTAGAGATTTCCCATTTTTTACTCCTTTCCAACCATCTTGGTCTGGTTTCCCTCCTCTCTTTGCAGTAGTTGTTGGGTTTCCTGGGATCTCTAAAGCGAATCCTATTCCTAAGAGATCGATTCTAGGGTTTGCGCAGCGGATATAAAACAAAAATTTAATAAACCCTAGAACCATGCTTCTAATGAATCGTAGAAACGTTAGAACGCTTATCTCAATCGATCCGGGGCCTGTATCAACTGAAGAATTCGTCCGATCACTTAGGCAGGAAGATTACCTCGCCCTCTACACGTATCCACACCTCGGGATGGATTCCAACGATTGGAACTTGTCTGCTAGGACTCGAATCTCTATTCGGTTTTTGCACTTCGAGAAAACGAGACTTAGAACTTGTTGAGCTCTTTGGATCTCACCAAAAACTCTCCAAGAACTGCAAAAGTCGGCTGCCAAAAGTCTCTCCCGTCATTAGGGTTTTTAATCTCCTTCTTATAAAGTGATTTTACCCTAATTTTGGTTCAATTACGAAAATACCCCGAGCCCAGAACGGACGGTCCAGAAATGCACGTGGACCGTCCGTTCCAGCAAGCAGAACGGACGGTCTGCGCTCACTCTGGACCGTCGGGTCTGGACTTGGTGGACCGTCCGTTC